AAAAAATGGTTGATTTTGAAAACGAGTTGGTTTTCCGTCAATCTCATCGATATTGAATTTCTTTGAATGAGAATTATTAGAAGGGATCCGTACGAATTTAAAAAGTTATAACATTTCAAAATCAGGCGATATTTACCGGAGATATTCAATAAAAATCATCAAAAAAGTTTTGATTTTTGACCCGACCTCGATTTTGAAAAAAAAACGTGATGTAACCCCTTGCCATTTTGTCGATTTGGGTTAAAATTTTGGATTTCCTTTTTTTTGATGCCAATCGATAGAACTGATCCTTACGAGTCAAAAATGGTATGAAATTGCAAAATCTGACATTTTTTGGCCGAGATATGCCAAAAAATCATCAAAAAAGGTTGATTTTGAAAACGAGTTGGTTTTTGGTCAATCCCATCGATATTGAATTTCTTTGAATGAGAATTATTAGTAGGGATCCGTACGAATTTAAAAAAGTATAACATTTCAAAATCAAACGATATTTACCGGAGATATTCAATAAGAATCATCGAAAAAGTTTTGATTTTTGACCCGACCCCGATTTTGAAAAAAAAACGTGATGTAACCCCTTGCCATTTTGTCGATTTGGGTCAAAATTTTGGATTTCATTTTTTTGATGCCAATCGATAGAACTGATCCTTACGAGTCAAAAATGGTATGAAATTTCAAAATCGGACGTTATTTGCCCGAGATATGCCAAAAAATCATAAAAAATGGTTGATTTTGAAAACGAGTTGGTTTTCCGTCAATCCCATCGATATTGAATTTCTTTGAATGAGAATTATTAGTAGGGATCCGTACGAATTTAGAAAGGTATAACATTTCAAAATCAAACGATATTTACCGGAGATATACAATAAAAATCATCGAAAAAGTTTTGATTTTTGACCCGACCCCGATTTTGAAAAAAAAACGTGATGTAACCCCTTGCCATTTTGTCGATTTGGGTCAAAATTTTGGATTTCATTTTTTTGATGCCAATCGATAGAACTGATCCTTACGAGTCAAAAATGGTATGAAATTTCAAAATCGGACGTTATTTGGCCGAGATATGCCAAAAAATCATACAAAATGGTTGATTTTGAAAACGAGTTGGTTTTCCGTCAATCCCATCGATATTGAATTTCTTTGAATGAGAATTATTAGTAGGGATCCGTACGAATTTAGAAAGGTATAACATTTCAAAATCAAACGATATTTACCGGAGATATTCAATAAAAATCATCGAAAAAGTTTTGATTTTTGACCCGACCCCGATTTTGAAAAAAAACGTGATGTAACCCATTGCCATTTTGTCGATTTGGGTCAAAATTTTGGATTTCCTTTTTTTGATGCCAATCGATAGTACTGATCCTTACGAGTCCAAAATGGGGGAAAATTTCAAAATCGGACGTTATTTGCCCGAGATATGCCAAAAAATCATAAAAAATGGTTGATTTTGAAAACGAGTTGGTTTTCCGTCAATCCCATCGATATTGAATTTCTTTGAATGAGAATTATTAGTAGGGATCCGTACGAATTTAGAAAGGTATAACATTTCAAAATCAAACGATATTTACCGGAGATATTCAATAAAAATCATCGAAAAAGTTTTGATTTTTGACCCGACCCCGATTTTGAAAAAAAACGTGATGTAACCCCTTGCCATTTTGTCGATTTGGGTCAAAATTTTGGATTTCCTTTTTTTGATGCCAATCGATAGAACTGATCCTTACGAGTCAAAAATGGTATGAAATTGCAAAATCTGACATTTTTTGGCCGAGATATGCCAAAAAATCATCAAAAAAGGTTGATTTTGAAAACGAGTTGGTTTTCCGTCAATCCCATCGATATTGAATTTCTTTGAATGAGAATTATTAGTAGGGATCCGTACGAATTTAAAAAGGTATAACATTTCAAAATCAAACGATATTTACCGGAGATATTCAATAAAAATCATCGAAAAAGTTTTGGTTTTTGACCCGACCCCGATTTTGAAAAAAAAACGTGATGTAACCCCTTGCCATTTTGTCGATTTGGGTCAAAATTTTTGATTTCATTTTTTTGATGCCAATCGATAGAACTGATCCTTACGAGTCAAAAATGGTATGAAATTTCAAAATCGGACGTTATTTGCCCGAGATATGCCAAAAAATCATAAAAAATGGTTGATTTTGAAAACGAGTTGGTTTTCCGTCAATCCCATCGATATTGAATTTCTTTGAATGAGAATTATTAGTAGGGATCCGTACGAATTTAGAAAGGTATAACATTTCAAAATCAAACGATATTTACCGGAGATATTCAATAAAAATCATCGAAAAAGTTTTGATTTTTGACCCGACCCCGATTTTGAAAAAAAACGTGATGTAACCCATTGCCATTTTGTCGATTTGGGTCAAAATTTTGGATTTCCTTTTTTTGATGCCAATCGATAGTACTGATCCTTACGAGTCCAAAATGGGGGAAAATTTCAAAATCGGACGTTATTTGCCCGAGATATGCCAAAAAATCATAAAAAATGGTTGATTTTGAAAACGAGTTGGTTTTCCGTCAATCCCATCGATATTGAATTTCTTTGAATGAGAATTATTAGTAGGGATCCGTACGAATTTAGAAAGGTATAACATTTCAAAATCAAACGATATTTACCGGAGATATTCAATAAAAATCATCGAAAAAGTTTTGATTTTTGACCCGACCCCGATTTTGAAAAAAAAACGTGATGTAACCCCTTGCCATTTTGTCGATTTGGGTCAAAATTTTGGATTTCCTTTTTTTGATGCCAATCGATAGTACTGATCCTTACGAGTCCAAAATGGGGGAAAATTTCAAAATCGGACGTTATTTGCCCGAGATATGCCAAAAAATCATAAAAAATGGTTGATTTTGAAAACGAGTTGGTTTTCCGTCAATCCCATCGATATTGAATTTCTTTGAATGAGAATTATTAGTAGTGATCCGTACGAATTTAGAAAGGTATAACATTTCAAAATCAAACGATATTTACCGGAGATATTCAATAAAAATCATCGAAAAAGTTTTGATTTTTGACCCGACCCCGATTTTGAAAAAAAAACGTGATGTAACCCCTTGCCATTTTGTCGATTTGGGTCAAAATTTTGGATTTCCTTTTTTTGATGCCAATCGATAGAACTGATCCTTACGAGTCAAAAATGGTATGAAATTTCAAAATCGGACGTTATTTGGCCGAGATATGCCAAAAAATCATCAAAAAAGGTTGATTTTGAAAACGAGTTGGTTTTCCGTCAATCCCATCGATATTGAATTTCTTTGAATGAGAATTATTAGTAGGGATCCGTACGAATTTAAAAAGGTATAACATTTCAAAATCAAACGATATTTACCGGAGATATTCAATAAAAATCATCGAAAAAGTTTTGATTTTTGACCCGACCCCGATTTTGAAAAAAAACGTGATGTAACCCCTTGCCATTTTGTCGATTTGGGTCAAAATTTTGGATTTCCTTTTTTTGATGCCAATCGATAGAACTGATCCTTACGAGTCAAAAATGGTATGAATTTGCAAAATCTGACATTATTTGGCCGAGATATGCCAAAAAATCATCAAAAAAGGTTAATTTTAAAAACGAGTTGGTTTTCCGTCAATCCCATCGATATTGAATTTCTTTGAATGAGAATTATTAGTAGGGATCCGTACGAGTTTAAAAAGGTATAACATTTCAAAATCAGACGATATTTACCGGAGATATTCAATAAAAATCATCGAAGTTTTGATTTTTGACTCGACCCCGATTTTGAAAAAAAACGTGATGTAACCCCTTGCCATTTTGTCGATTTGGGTCAAAATTTTGGATTTCCTTTTTTTGATGCCAATCGATAGAACTGATCCTTACGAGTCCAAAATGGTGAAAATTTTCAAAATCGGACATTTTTTGGCCGAGATATTCCAAAAAATCATCAAAAAAGGTTGCTTTTTCAAACATATCGTTTTTTGGTCAAAGCTATTTTCTTTTAGGATCTACCATTTGCACAAGTTGATGGCATTCACATGCGAATGTGATTAATTCCAATTATCAGCACATTTTCCTCTTTCTAATTCTATGTATAAAGATATCAAAAAGACTTACCTTTTCGTAATCGAAAATACTTAGCAGGACCAACGATGACAATTCAAAGGCTTCCCCGAACATTTCACATTTTCCCGAGGCAGTTGTAAATGATATATAAACTAAAATATAAAATCATCATTAGTGCCTTTTAAAGGTCAATATTATATATTCTTGCTTACGAAATTGTAATTCCCAATATCGCGATTGTTCTAGTTAACATCTGGTTAATATGTTTAGAAAGAGTTTTAGATCTTATCCGTAACAGCATTTTGTGGCAGCAGTTGATTTTGATTATGTTTTCAATTTTGGTATATTCTTTTGGTTATTATTTAATTAATGACTTTTAGGTAACCGATGTTAGCTAGCTGCAGATGTTATTAATTGCTCCAAACGTCGCTTTGCATTGACATCAAACTTGCCCAGGCTTTGCCTTAGCAGCTGCTGCTCATAGCCAACTTTCTCCAGCTGCAGCTCATCCACGAATATTGTGTGGGCTAAAGCAGAGTCAACATTTGCTTCATAGATGCCGCCGGGATGCAATAGCTCAGCAATTGGCTCAATGTCGCCGCACTGCCATATCTCCTCGCCATTGTAGGGCACCAAGCCTATCAGACGCACATCCAGGGCTAATGGATCAATTTGTTGCCAGTCCAGCGGACAGACAAACAGCTCCGACAGCTTCGCATGGCAGATGGCCGTATTTAAGTCCAAATGCTTGACGCGCACAGTCATATTTTGATATTGCTCGGGACTAGCAGAATCAGCGGGTGGCACAAATGTGACGGAAACACGCTCATAACAGTTGGTGGCTATTTGGCGCACACAAATCTGCTGCAACTCTTGGTGATTAGGTGCCACACAATGCTCCGGCATGGCATAGTATCTAATCAATTGTTGCTGCAATTCCGCATACTGCTGCTGCACAGGCATCATACACCACGCGCCTTGAGCTGTTGCTCTATGTGCCATCAAACGAGCCGCGAAGTGGGAGGGTGTGCAGATCTGTAAGCAAGAATTGGGTAATCATGTAAGGAGACATAGAAGACATTCATAATAATCCTGCAACTATAGGTTGATAGATTCCAGTTCTCATTCACAAACCTTTAAACTCGATTTGAATTGAATCAAGTATATATGATAAGATAGTAAACGTGGCATCCTGGATCGTACATATGCTGAAACCTAGACTGCAATTTAAAACTAATTTATTCTGGGGAAAATGCTGTAAGTTGTCGAGAAATCAACCTTTAAGGCATGAGAACGCACATTCCAAACTTGACTTCTAAAGCTTGTACGATCCTTGAGAAATGGCTCTCTATCTGATGATCTTTTAGACGCCCATTCTACCTGACCTTAACGCCACAATCTAGGTACCTTTTATTAGATCAGACTGCTTAATGTTATGCAGAATATCATACAAAATTATATTGAAATATATAACCCATCTTCAGCTCACCTTAAGCAGCTGAAAGCGTATACATCCTGCAGTTGGTACAGTCGCACAGCTCCTGTCGACGTCTGCCAGCAGATGTCAATATTGGCAGGTAGGCGTCAGGCAATGGCCATGCAGCAACAACACCGGACAAATGACGCACTTACGCGCCACCAAGGATGCCTCATGTGTCGCCTGCAGCTGCGCATGCGCCGCATTCAGCTTTTCATCGATGGGATGTCCGTGTTGCTGCATGAACTCTATCAGCTGAGGCAGCATTCGTTGACTCTGCTTATTCAGTAGAAGGAGGGAGTGCAGCTGCTGCTGGTTTGTGGTGGACATCAGTGCATTGGGTATTTGGGTTTTAAATACAGCGAAACGCTTCCTAAACTGACTCCAAGTGGACGGCATGTTGAAGTGTATGAGAGACTGAACGTTGTCCACAAGCAACTCGGGTGCATGTTCGCGCAGCAACAATATTTGGCCCGTGTTCTATGAAAATATAAAATATATATATTCAATCTGTAATATAAAGGTTTATTACCTGTTGCTGCCAGCGGTCCACGCGCGGTTTATCCCCTCGTCCACGATGCAACAGGCAGTCATCCTTGGGCAATTGCTGTTGTAGCTCATGGAAATCCGTTTCATTGGTGCAGTAAATCAGCGTGCGCTGTTTTTTATATGGCTGCTGTCGCAGGTAGTCCATCAGCTGCTGCATCTGCCGTGCTCCGCTATTGCCCAGCTCCACTTGCAGCTGCAGGCCACCATAGACGGCTGCCTCCAGCGCTTCCTGCAGAAACACCAGCGGCTTCCTGGCGTGCTGCAAGAGTTGCTGCATTTCTGCAGCCAGCCACAGTCGCGAGGTCACCACAAGCTGTGGCTTGCTGCACAGCTGCCAGAGCGTCAGCTTGAGCGCCTGAAAACAGCTACCACCATAAGCCTGCAGCCGCTCCAGCTCGTCAAAGACAATGCAGCCCAAATGAGCGTCCGTTAGCAGCTGAGGCGTCTTCAAATTGCTGAACTCTGCAGTGGTTGCAATCAACAGGCCGCCACGCTGACACAACAGCTGGGCTGCTGTCTCCGACTCCTCTGCTGCACTGATAAGGTCCTGCCGGCTGTCCAACTGTTTCTCAAATTGCGCGCGCAGCTGCAGCGAACGTTTGCGCGTAGCCACCAGCACAAGAATCACATGCTGCTGTCTCCTCCTGACCAGCTTGTATAGCTGGCATAGGGGCTGCACGTACTCATCCAACGGGCGTTTGGCTGCATCGATGAGCAGCAGTGAATCCCCGGCAAGTATTTGTCCGGTGAGCACATTCTGCTTGGAACTGCTAACCGGCTGCTGTGCATGTGCCAGACAATATGCATGGTTGTCCATCTGGAAGGCAGGAAATTCATCATCGGGCTGTGTCATCAGCTTGCATCTGTTACCGTCTGTGTGTGTGCGTTTTATTTAAATATAATGTTGGATATAAATGTATTAAGGCTAAACTAAATCTGTCGTATGCTACACAATTCTACTCTAAAAGTTTTTTTTTGGACTTGGGCGTCGAAATGGTGCGCAAGGATACGCGTCGTGGCGTCTTAGCACTCGGTGTGCTTGGCTTTGGCGAGGCAACCGACGTCGTGGCCGTTGCAACGGGCGCGACGGGTGCTGCTGCCTTAACAGGCGTGCTCGCTTCCTCTTGGGTATCCTCGTAGACCAGGCGTATGTCCTCGGTGCGTTCACAAGTCGCCTCGCGGATGGACAGCTGCGTCCCTTTGCCCTTTTTCGCCTCCGTCTCTTTGCTGGGCGATTTCTCCTTTGCTGGCAGCGGACTTATGCCATCCATGACTAGCGGCCAGGCGTCCATGGCTTCCTCGACGACCACGGGCGCATTCACGACAGGCGCTTCGATGAGCACGCGCGGTGTACGTCGCACAGCGATAGGCGTGGCATGTTTGGCGGGCAGTGATTTGGGCGTTTGCGTATTGTTGTTGCTGCTGCTGCTGCCTGGCGTGCGCGGCTGTCTGCGCACCTGTATGGGCGTGGCTGGCCTACATTTCTTCTCCGGCGATTCGAACTTCTCGTCCGAGCTGATGATCTCCTTATCAAGCACAGCTTCGATGGGTTTATGCAGCACCCCAAGCGGCTTCTTAGGCATGCTCTGCACGGGTTCTCCATCATCGCTGGCCTTGCGTTTGACAGCAATCGCCGTCGTTTCAGTAACAGCAGCAGCTGTGGGCGTGGCTTCTGTGATTTTGCGCGGCGAACGGCGTATTGCAATAGTTGTGGGCTCCGGCATTTTGCGAGGTGAACGTCTGAAGGCAATGGGCGTGGGGTTTACATCTGCTTTAGGCACAGGCTTGGGACTGCCCGCGGAGGTTGTCGAGCTGCTACTCTGCAGCGACGAATCGTTCTCCGCTTCCAAGTCAGTTTCTCCATTTTCTTTGCACTTATTTGCTTTGGCTTTACCTAGCCTGTGTTTTATCTCAATTTTATTGGGCTTGGTTTTCTCCTGCAGCGGTCGACGCCTCGCGGATTCATCGGCCGAAGGTTTTCGCATCTTTTGTCTCTTCATTTTGCGATTACGTGGTTGATGATGATTCTCCGATGTCTTGGCAACAGCGCACAGCACTGCGTCCATTTCTTCATAGCGCTCGCCCAGTTCGTTTTCGGCAAAGGTCAACAGGGAGCAAAATCCATCGGTGCTGGAGACGATTAGCACATTGCCATCATTGGACCAGGTCAGATCGGTTAACCGCGTGTAATGTATGTTGGAGACAATGGCAAATGGCACCGGCTGTTGCGTATCGTAGAAGAACACCGAGTTCTTGGTGGCCACCGCATAAATCATGCGATATGGCAGTGTTATAATGGGCGGATTCTTGTCCGCATTGTACGGTCGTAGACGGTACAGCACGGGTGAGCATCGCACTGCCACGGTGTATTCATTGGGAAAGGGCAGCACAAAGGCGGGTTTACTCAGATCGTAGCGGCTGTAACCATAGGTGGTATTCGTGGGCTTCATCACGCCATCGTAATCCGTTACGCCAGCGGGCGTCAGCAACAATTTGCCGTCGGGCGTAAAGCAAAGTCGCCGAAAGAAGGTTTGCAGCGTACCATCGTGATATAAGCGTATACTGCGGCCGTGCAGCTCATGCCCTTCCTTGACGGGCAGCGTGGATTTGTTGACACGATGCAGCACACGTCGCGTGTTTGCATCAAATACGCGCAAATGCCTGCAAACATTTTGAAATAATAACAAACAAGCCACTTTGCAGTTTAGACAGTCACTCACCTATCCGTGCTCATGGTGGCTATAAACTGATTACACGGATCCCAGGCGACGCCTTGTACATAGCCCTTGTGATCATCCAAGATAGCCAGAGACTTGCCCTTGTGCACATCCCATAACATGGCAGTATTGTCCACAGAGCCGGTGACTAGAAACTGCGAATTGGGCGCCCAACTCAAGTCGTAGACATCTTCCCGATGGCCACGCAACACTTTCAACGTCAGCCACACTTCTCTATCTTGTTCACAGTTGCTATCAGCATCCACAATGTTGACCACTTCGTGCTCCGCTTTTTGTTTCCATATAAAGACAACACTTTCGTCATCGCCAGATGCGAGAAGTTCTCCATTGGGTGACCAGCGCACCGTATTCACTGCACGCTGATGCCTCGCCAAATCCGCCGCCAGTTCCAGTGCAACGCCCTCGCCTGCTTCACTTTGATTTACGTACCAAATGAGAACGTGCGCATCGGTGCCGCCCGAGGCGAGGCGGCACATTGTGGGTGCTCTTAGGCCCACGCCGTTTGATTGTATATCTACACTTAGTACCGGGTCGCGATTGTGCCAAGATATTTCGGGTATTTTGCACTTCATTCTAACTTATTTAATAACTTACTTAGTGTTATTTTTCTGCGAAAAATGCTGACTTCGCGCCCAAAACTCAGACAGCGATGTGCACTACGGGAAAAACATCGTTGCATTTGATGGCTGGCAGACTCATCGATAACAGAAACACAACACAACTCTGCGTCCGTGTAAGCGATATATATCGCAAGCAATAACTCGCAGCTAACTTAACACCTTTCGAAGTCGAAATTGTAAATCAGCTGTTAAAATGGTAAACAAACGACGCGTTTTGCTAAATTTTATATTTTTTCACATATTTGATCACATATTCCAGTCAGTAACGCTGCACACCGACGTGGGCGATATTAAAATCGAGCTCTTCTGCGAGGCCTGCCCCAAGGCCTGCGAGAATTTCTTGGCCTTATGCGCAAGCGACTATTACAGTGGCTGTTGCTTCATAAGGAACATCAAGGGATTTATTGTGCAAACCGGCGATCCAACAAATACGGGCAAGAATGGACAGTCTATTTGGGGCACCAAGTTCGATGACGAGTTTAAGGAAACAATAAAGGTATTAAAATAAAAATTTTCATATAACAATTACTTACTAATTACTTGGTCATAGCACACAGACAGAGGCATGGTCTCCATGGCAAATAATGGTCCCAACGCGAATGCCAGCCAGTTTTTCATTACGTACGCTGCGCAGCCTAATCTGGACTTGAAATATACGCTATTTGGACGTGTCATCGATGGTTTTGATGCGCTCGATGAACTGGAAAAGCTGCCCGTAAATCCAAAAAACTATCGTCCGCATGTCGACAAGAAAATCAATGGAGTAACTATCCATGCAAATCCGCTGGCAGCGTGATAAATGCGGATCGGGATTGCATTAGTTAATGCACTATACATATATATTTATATATTTTTTTAGCCTTAAGTTAAAATGATATTTTATCTTTCATTTACAAACTAATTAATTGAGAAACAGCAAATTGTGCAAAAGCTGCTAAAACTAGATCTTAAAAATCAGCCAAGTTGTCACGATTTTTTTTCTTTTAGTTATATGTATACATACGATTGCATTGCTCATTTCGCGTGGATTTTGATTTGAAACGTTTTTTCCGAACACTTTTGCACTTATATTGAAAACTTACAATAGACAATATGTTTGATGATTGTTAAAACGAATAACTAGAGAAGTAAAAACAAATGCTAACAAGAATCTCGCAAGAGTTTCACTACAATTAGGACTATGCATTATTTGGAGACGCCATTTGTGAGAGACTTGGCGGGCTTCGGATGATCCTTCATGTGCTGCTCAAACATGCTTCGAATGTCAGCCAGAGCCTGGCTAATATTCCTAGCAAATCGGTGCACATCCTGAAATGACATCATATTAGGTTTAAATTTATTTTAACTGGAATAGCAATGAATCGCATACCGTCTGCGCACACGTGGTCTTCGCTGAAATATGGAAGAATATCAAATTTTCACCGGCTATAATATAGGACACGCCATAACCATCATCGGCAACGGGTCCAAAGCCGCCGCCGGCGCTAATGCAATTTGGGTGCTTCTTCAAATCCATTTTTGGAGTCTGGCCATGCGGCGTTTGACTAGTGGACAGGCGCCAGGGTTCGCTGAGCACCTCGTTCAGGAAGGGCGAATCCACTTCCAAGTACTTTGAGACGACATACAAACAGAACAGATGACGATCAATGCCACGTCCGCACATGGCATCCTGATAGCCCAACTGATGGCGATCGCAGGCTTCCTTCAGCAACTGCACACGCTCATCGTTCTGAAAAAAATATAGAAACCATGCGCGTTATTCTAGCTTAGATTCCATTGCAGAAATGTTAACTTACCGTTGTGTTGGGATTCTCCATGGCCTTTACCCACGCAGCCGATTCTATGGTGCAGGGTCGCACAGTTTCAGTGCGTCCCTCGCGAAACAGGCGCGTCATGGAGGCCTCATACGTCAGCGAGAAGCGCCCAGCATCGCGATAATAGGCTAGCTGCAGCACCATCTGAATGTATGCATCCGGCGACAGACGGCACTTTTTCATGAAGCCCTTGCCGTACTCTTGGTGCACCAGTATGCGCAGATCGACCTCATTGATCAGTTTTGTGGCACTGATGGTCGCCTCCTCGATCTGTGGTAGACACGGCTTCAAATCCCAATTAAGACGTGTAGGCGACGGCGGCGTAAACTCCGGAATGCCCTTTGTGTTGCCCGTCTCGTCATATCTGTTGGGGTTTTATGGTGAAATGGGATTAGTAGAGCATAATGAATCATGAATGAATAATTTTAAGCATAGTCGGTTAGGCTGGTAAAACATGGTTTTCAAATTAGGCATTAATTACATTAGTATACAGCTTTGGTTGAAGTACATTTAGCTACAGTTATGATATAAATATATAACTCTTATGGGTTACCGTTTCGAGTTATTTGTTTGATTTTTTAGCGGTTAGGGGTTAACAATGACGGTTTATTTGGAATTTTAGTTTTACCCTTCAATATCATCACCAAATATATACTCCCATAGATGTCCCATAACCGGTGCGTCCGCCCTATAATAAAATTCATAAATACAATTGATTAAGCCACAACCAAGGTTAAAGGGAATATGACATGATAGAATCTGTACAGCTTATACACATGTATGTGTCTATAACAAGGCAGCTAACCGACACCAGCTAGAACGTGGTAGAACTCTACATAAATATAGTCGGAGCATTTACCCGTCACTTTCAATATCATCAATGATCAGATTCTCCCACATGTGTGAGGCGATTGCAGCGTCCGACCTTTTTACACAATATTCAAAAATTTTATTTTATAGAAATGGGAAAATTAATATTTGTCTTCGGGCTGCCGAATATAAAAAAGTCTCGCATAAAGCATTATATTTAAATCTAAGCTCAACTACAATCGAATTAAAAACCATTTGATGTTGATTAAATAAAAATTAAAAATGGTTTATACAAGAATTAAATAATGAGATATATAAAATTGATTTCTGTTAGTTGCGAGGAGCACAACAAAAAACGTAATTGGCAAGTTTGCTCAGGATATTTAAAAAGAAAACTGTTTTTTTTTTTTTCTGACAGACGATCGGACGCAGCTTTGTCATGAACGATTAATACACAGAAACTAATTGTTTCATTTAAACACAAAAAACATACCATGTGTGCTCGGCATTGAAGCCGACGCGTCCATTGTTGCCCACGCAGACGGTGAAGCACTTGTCGAACCAACGATTGTAACCATTGCCATGCAGCAGCTTCTTGCCAAATGAGTCCAGCAGTTCCGGTCGCTTTAGATCAAACTCGAACGGCTCATCGTCCAGGGATAGTACAAACGCAGCGGATTCAATTGTGCGCAGCGAGACGTGGTTAATGCCACGTGAAAAGAACGTGTTGCGTGCCTCAGCCCACTTGGAGCGATTCCAGGCAGTCAGCGCAGCCAAATGCTCCTCACCCTCCAATGGGGTGGCCTTGGCCTCGAGTATCTCCTTGATCTGACTGTGGAGCAAGTAGAATTGAGCATGAATTAGGTGGAATGGTAAGCAAGGATTTGTTTACTTACACTTGCAGCTCGCAGGGGCGCAGAGTGCGTCCCTTATAGTAGATTAGCATCTTGTAGTAGCAGCCCTTGTGCAGCACCACAATGTGATTGGAGTCCCGATAGTGAACAATGCGATCCGTTTCTAGGCCGGGTACGCGTACCGTGTTAAAGGTGCGCTCATATTGCCAAGAGCAGAGCGGTATCATGCCCTGCACCATAATCGGCTGCAGTTCCTGATGCTCAATCAAACGTCTAAAGTTGAGCAACAGCGATATGACATTGGCGGCACGTGCCGATTGAATGGTGGTGAGATTCATGAAGATGGCATCGGTGCCATAGAAATTGCTGTTCACACAGAGCGGACTGCGGCCGCGCAAATAAACATACTCCTCCCACCAATCGGAGACGTAGTTGGTGGACGTCCAGCTCTTCAGCAAAAGATATCTTTGCAGCTTCTTGCCAATTGTCTGTTCAAACTCCTTGGCCAATCTTTCCATGCGCTCGTAGTTCTGGTCATCCAGCAAGGGACGCACCGAGCGCAGATATCGTGTCATCGTGTCATGCACTGAGGGCAGTGGTAGGCGTGGCAGCGAGCCCTGAAAACTGTACAGACCCGGCTTATTCCAGCTGGAGAGCACACGCACCACGGCCACCCAGAGCATGGTGGGTATGGAGACACGACTGCCCGGCGCCCTCGACTCATACATCCAGCCCTTGTACATGAGCAACAGTTTCAGTGTGTAGCGCATGGTGAAGCAGATGGAAAGCCAGATGGTAAGTGCGGCCAGGAAGCAGGCGCTGATCTGCCAGTTTATTGTGTTGCTAGGCAGATGCACCAGGATTCTGTTGGTCAAATTGAAGGGCGCCTGGTAGCCCGCAAAATGCAAGCCCAGCGCAATGGCCGTGATCAGCCAGAGACTTTGTATGTGCGCCGGATACACACCATTACGAATGCCATTCTGGAAAGGAATATAGATACTTAAATACCGAATGCGATAAATCGAGGCATCTTTGGTTATCTTACTCTAGCACGCGCCACACGTTTCTTCCAGGAGCGCACGCCCGAATTGAGCACAAGATTGAGTACCTCGTGGTCATAGTTGATGTCGAAGCCCTCGTGCGTGATCGCAAACGAGAAGGCGACAGCGGCATGGGCTTCAGCCATACCTACGGCTAATTTCTACCAAATAGTGCTGCAAAAAGAACAAATAACAGATATACACACGGATTAGATTAGATAGGTGTTGTAATCATAAAATATATAGCTTGTACTATTTGCATCCATCACATTCAAGTACATTATTATTAAGTCATTAACTCTGCTTACGGATTTGGCAAATTGACTGCTTTTGGACTTAATTAATTCAACTGATAAGCGGAGCTTATCTGCCGAATCGTCAGACATTTCGTATTAGTCAGAACACATTGCCTATGGCTGGATATATTGCAAGCCCCAACTGACCAAGAATGATTTTCGATAAAATAACCTTATCTCAACTTAACGGATATGAAGTAAGCCCTTTTGTTCTTAGGAGGTCCGAGAATGATACAACGCTTTAAATGGTAGTATTATTTATAGCAATCATTATTGCCTTACTTGCATTTTTGAGAAGTGCGTAGAACGGCGATACTTAATAGTCAGTAAGAAAATCCAAATACGAGAGAGAAGGCAAGTAGTAGAGACAAAGAGAATAAAGTACAGTGGGAATAAGAGAGAATATGGTAAATTGTGAGACTAGGACAAAGTAAAGATCCTAGTGTAAGACAGCGAGAGAGAAAATGGGAGAGAGAATAGGGAGAATCTTATACTGAAAATAAAATAGACAGAGAGTAATAAAATTTAGCCATGGTTAAAAAATTATTAAACATTTTTGAAACCCATTTGATGTATTTATACAGTTTTTTGTGTTAGTTAGTTTATTGAACTTATCATCATGTGTATTTGTTCGCTTCCATTTTTGTGAAAATAGGTTGCAAAATATTTGCGAGCATGGCATGTTTTAAAATGTGCAAACATAAATGCACTTGAAAATTAGCTGCGAATATGTCGCAGTCTTTGCACTTTGATATTTCTCAGGCCTTAGGCAATTGTTTATACTTTATTAATAATAGGTTACAAGGAACAGTGGGAAATGCGCTGCATACAATTGAGATGTTATAACAAAAGTGCCAATGTGCAATTTGCGATTGACGTCACCGAGAGCCTCTCGCGATAACCCCAAATATAGGCATAAGATGGCCCCCAGCTCAAAGAGTCTGTGGAGAATCGAAGGGAAGAGGCAATCATTAGCTATTGATTGTTCCAGTCGGTCTGTCTGTCTGGAAATCAGCTCTGTGGACACTTGATTGAAGCAACAATAACTGAAATGTAGCCTACAACAACTAATTGTAGAAGTGGACCCAAGCACGTACTTTGATTTATCAAGTGTTTTGCGAGAGCGGATTTAATAGCTATATGCATTGTTTGAGTGCATACAAAGTGTTTATTAGAAATCTGTGTGTGTGTGTGTGTGTGTGTGTGTATGTTCGGGCAAGGCAGCAGAATAATAACTGGTAAGTCATTTAGTTAATGAGTGGCTTTGATTAGCATCAAACTTAAAAAGTTGTTTTCTATCTAAGCACAGGCCTTGGCTTGAACTCGACAAGCCAAGAGCGGGCCGCAGCTGAAGGCCAATGCAATAGCAGCATTAATAAACGACAACAATATCAAACAAATAAAAATAAAAATAAGAAATACGGCAACGACAACAACAACAACAATAGTTTGTTATTTTTGTTTGACCCACTTTTGATTAGGCGTCCACGCGGCGTATGCGTTATATTTTTGCTAGACGATCGCTACCGGCTTTTAAATATTCATGTCTGCATTCATATATTATTATTATTATTATTATTTTGTTGTTGTTTTGTTTATATATCAAGGGGACACAGCAAATCGAAGAAATAAGTGTGTTGATATTTAAGTTGTTGTGCCTCTTCGTTTTAATTTATTTAGCGCTGTGCACGAAGGTACAAAGTCCAATTTTTAAATTTTGTTTGTCTACGTTTTTTTTTTCGCTTTTTGCCAGGCTATTTTTTTTTACGATTATTTTTGCATCACAGCAGCTTTTTTGAGTACATTTTTAACCCTGTCTATAGCGCTTTTATATAACCGAGAAAAACAACCAAAAGAAAAAAAAAAGAAAATCATTAAAAAAAGGAAATCTCAAAATGCGCTGATAAGAGACGTGCTCATGTGCTGCCGCGCTTATCAGGCGCCTGCCGCACACTCGAAAATCCGAGAATATTTATAGAGGAAGAGGCATGTGTAGAGAGCGGGACAAGAAACCGTGTAGAAAATAGGGGAAAACAAATGCAACGCGAGCCACAAAGAAAGAATGCATTAAAATGCAGAAATATATTTTATTAATGTGTGTGTTTTTTCCCTTACACTTTTTCGCTTTTGTGACCTTCAATTGGTTGAGGTGAAAAATGTAACAGGGCAAGAACAATTGCATAGAAACAAACCTTAGCGTGTGTGTGTGTGTGTGTAGAAATTACTAATCGGTTTAATTCAATTATACCAAGTAATTGCACTTTTCCTTTAAAACACAATGTATCAATAAAAAAGCAAAAGCGAATTCCGTTAATACTTTTTGTTTTCAGCTACTTTGCGATGGAACGAAACGACTTGATCGCCTGAACGCCGAGCGTCAACTGATTGAGCTGCGTGGCGAGAGCAGCGCATGGGGTCTCGAAAAGCGAACAACCGTCGCGGCGGTCACCGGCTACTCAAACAGCTACAGCTACAGCTACAGATACTTTTACATCTATAGACACAGATACAGATGCAGATACAGCTACAGGCAGACAGGCACATAAGACATGGCTAGCGTGTGTCTCTGCTGCGTCACAGCCAAGAACAAGAAAGCATGCTCTAGTGGAAAGTGCGCGACTTACAGATACCCTACACTCAACATCAAACTTCCGAAACATACACTTATACATAATTAAGTACCTTACATGCGAAAATTGATGTATCTAGCGCTAATAATCTTCGAGTTATGCACAATTAACCCAGTCGAAAAATCAATACATATTCATTATCGATGATTTAAGCTGCGTTTAGCATACAAGATATTATATTCTCAAGCTCGTACAGTCTCTGATATCGATGCGACAAACAGACGGTCAGCTGTATTTGGTTACATCGACTCGACATGCATACCCTTGTTACACCTCTTAAATGGCTACAGGGTATAAAAAGGGGGGCTCGCAGCGCAGAAGTGCTACTGAGAGTCTCTTGACCGGCAAAACGATACAAATTTATCAATAGTTCTACATAGCACATGCAGATGCAGATGCATGTGTTTATGGATCTGCAAATATTGCCATGTGCATTCTAATAAATCGCCCTGAGGCGTGGCAATCTCTCGCGCACACACGCCCACTTCTGGTTCTGGGATCGGGAACCTGTCACTGACATATCTCTCCCGAGGCCCATATATCTATATACATGAGTGAGTACGCATGTGTGTGGGTAACTATAAATATAAATCTATAGCATATCATTGAGTATGGAGGAGCGCGAGAAATGTGAATTGTTTTGGTCGGGTCTGTGGTTAGCCGGGAATATATGGTCGGGCATATATAACATATTTATCGCGCACTCTGATTGAAATACTAAAACTAACACACATGTTTGGCTTATTATTAGTATTTGTGCACTTTGAACTGTCGTCAGAGAGCATAGACATGCAGCGAAACATATAGGTTTATATCTCCTGATAATTGAAACCCATTTCCCAGACAGGCATAAATCTTCTAGGTTGTGAAACAGAGTATCTTTTAATACCCTGTAGCCGTAAGAAATTAATAAAAAATGTTGTGCACATATATTTGAAGATCTTAGTGAAAAATGATTGCAAAAATCGTATAGGTAAGAAATGAATGGAAAATATTCTGCTGTACTGCAATCACAGCATTATTGGGTGCATCGCACCTATGGAAGGGTATCAAATCTTCGGCACGCCGAAGGTAAACATCTATATTGTTTTGGTCACACTCATCAACTTATAGTTTAGTAAACACTCAATCAAAATTTTCCGTTTCGAAGAGTTTCGCTTTCCAGAGGCAGAGCCATAAAATTAACCCCACGCTGTTGGGGGTTCACTTTTCAATCGAGCTGATAGGTTTTTATTTTTATGTTTTATCAATAGTTTGCGCATTTTGTTTGCTTACACAATTGGTTTGCTTTGCTAGATCTGATCTTATAACAATATGAATAGTTTTTTTTTTTTTTTAAAGGGAGCAGCGATTAGATATTGTTATTATTTTCTATTATAATGCTTTTATCGCATTAGTGGCTTGTCTAAAGTCCAATTCATCATTGGGGTCTTGCAATATTCGCCAATTCCATAAACTAGAACGCAATTACCGACGCGATAGGCCCCGTCAAGCGGATTGTTCTTAAGTACTGCCAAATTTTTACTACGGAATAACCTTTTGAAATTCGTGACGCATTGATATAGTCTAGTTGGCATTTAAGTGTAGACGAAAAAAGTCGGTTATCAGTCAATTTTGGCAAATACGTTTATCACACATCTATAACATTCTGGCTAGGTGATAAATCACCTTAATTCCCTGGGAAATGGTGTTGAATAAGGGGAATTTGTGCGAACTAAGGAAATTTGGGCTGCAGCCTTGACAGATCGTAAGCTTTTAAAGTTTATAATCGCACTATGCCAAAGCCACAGCCACAGCGACAGCTACGCTTGCATTTGGACTTTGAACTGTGAGCATAACATAAAATGCGCGAGCAAAAGCGTCAGCGTTGAAAGAGGGTGAGGGAACCAGTTTCGCAAATTTAATTCTGCCACGCGCTGTTTTATCATTCACTTGTGCCTGTTGAAGCAAGCCTAGGCCTAGAAGCACACGCAAATTGATTGAAATTAAATACTACATATGTACACTTTAAGTATTCGAATATAACCCTAATGCAAACTAATTAAAGGTTGACGGAACAACTTGTTTTGATTGTTGTTTATGCATGATATTCACTTGGAGTCTCGCCGTTTGTTGTTGTCTTTTTCAATTAGTTCGTGAGACACACACACACACACACAGACAAACTCATTGCGACTCAGACATGCGCCCCCACACAAATGCACCTGCTTGAGTCTATGTATGTGTGTGTATTTTACAGATGTTTACAATGCTGTGTTTGAATCTGTATATGTCGAAGAGCTTTCGCTCACCCACTCAACTGAGAGCGCGGCAAAGATTGGGTTTTGGACTTTGAACCTTGTTTAGCTGCGAGTTAAGAAAATAAAAAGTAAATAAGCAACAACAACAACAGCAACAGCCTAGCAACAAACTGGGTTGTGTTGTAATAATTGTTTTAATACATATTTTCTCTCTCTCTGTTTTCCACAACAAGTTTCCAAGCGGCGGTATATATATATATACATACATACGCACACATAGACATGAGCGGAAAATGGAAAAGAGGGGCTTGCTTGTGACCCAAATAACAGAAACAGGTTGAAGCTGTTGTTGTTGCTGGCATTAAGCAATGCATCACAGACTAGGTTGCTGGGCCAAAACGTAATTTTCACCTTAGCAGGCAGGTAAACGTGAACAGACACTAGTCAAGTCAAAGGTGAATGCACGGCGCCTGCGTGAGACGAGACGCCGTTTATTTTCATTCTATTCTGTATACGTATGTATGTATATTGCATATACATTTTAAGTTACATTTTACTTACTTATGTATGTGTATATATTGTATTGAAAAGAACTCGTTTTAATAGCAGACGAAATACACACGCTTAATCCAATTGCGCTTAAAATTAAAGCGGAACGAGCACATAAGACGCAAACAAATAAAAAACCAAAATGTCGACGACGGCAAAGACGCGCGCGCAATGTTGTAAACGAGCCAACGACAAAAAAGAGACTGAAGAGCCGACTCTGAGCCAGAGAGCTGTAAATGAGGCAAGCAACAAAACAACAGTGTTCGAAAGACCATATGATCGCGAATGTGTGGGGTAGGTAGAGTAGGGTGACCATGTGCATGCAATTAATTGCTGCAATCATTTCATTTTTTAAATTAAAAATTAAATTTGATTTCAATTTACATTTTATGTGAAGCAGAAGAAAAGCACAAGCTAAATAAAAGTTGGCCTCTTACTTACAATTGAAGTGTCTTTTTTGATTTTAACTTAGTCTATGCACATATTACAACACTTATTCAACAGGTTCTGCTTTTTGCTCATCCTTGCTCTCTGCAGAGCTAGAGAGGCCGCGTATGCTGACGTCATAGACAACCTCTTCGATCTTTTTCACATCGTATTTAAGAGCATCAAAACGTTTGCGCAAGCCATCGTTTTTCAAATTGAGCAAACGAAAGCCCGTGTTCAGATCACCAATGAAATGGGAGATATTCAAGGGGCGCTCGTAGTCGCCCATTGTGACGGAATTTGTGGCGAAACGCGATAGTTCCGAGGCGAGCAGCAATATGCCCAGCAGGTAGTCTTCAATATCCAAATGAAACCCATCCGAATGCTTCGTTTTCACTGTTTACAATTAAACATTCGAGTGCTGTTAATGGAATATGATGGATTGCGATTTATTTGAATGACTTACAGCCCAGCAGCTCGGCTGCTGTTTCGCGCGTCACCAAAAAGCCCGCCTCCAGATAAATGACCAGCGCAATCAGAAATATCAAACGCTGGGTAATGTACGTCCAATGATCGGAATAGCTGTGTACAGAGTACATTAGCAAAAAGTGGCACATGAGACGCCTACACTATGCTACAAATTACAATGTCTCACCGATAATATTGGCCAGTCGGCACTAACGCAGACAGCTTTTGATATTTTTCGGCGCAGGCTTCGATTTGCTTACGTGCCAAGCTGCAGGCATTGTTGACTATAGATAATTGTAATATATTTTTAAATATTTTTATATATATTAATATTAATTGTTACACGCACAGCTACTTACTTTTGCTCAAATCACAGTGTATGACTTGTAGTTGTATTGTGGCTTCCTTTGCCAGATGCTCAATTTCCCGCACGACAATGCGTATGTTCTGCGAAATGTATTTTATTTAGTCTGGCTGATATCTTAAGTTTAAACATATTGATGCTTACCTCGCGCAACTCCTGTTCGTTGTCTATATATTTTTGATAGTTTGAGAAAACTTCCATATTTACGAAATGCGACATTTTGTTTGCGATAATTTGCTTGTTTATGCCGGCCTCTCAAAAATACACGAATACATATAAACAAGCGACGTAAATATCTATCGAATAGCAGAGTTGTACCGCATGCGATATATCGATTTCGGCCTCCCGTTAACATCGTGCATCGATTTACAGCTGTGCTTTCCCATTCGTGTTTCGTGTTGCTGTTCTAATTAACGTCAGAGTCAAATTTCATTCGAATAAAATGTCCTACGTAAGTTAAGTAAAATGGGTAATTCCAATTAGAAAGTATTTTAATGCAGAATTTCCTTCAAGGGCGGCGGCTATAATCCCTATGCACAGCCTGGCGGTGGCTATGCTGCTCCTCCAGGCGCATTTCCGCCACAGAATGCCCAAGTTTCGCCACAAGCTCAGCAATGGTTCGCCATGGTGGACAGGGACCGCTCTGGCAAGATTAACGCCTCCGAGCTGCAGGCTGCCTTGATCAATGGGCGTGGCGAGAAATTCTCGGACAACGCATGCAAATTAATGATAAGTAAGTGAGGCACGCAACGGTATAAATGGGAATGTGGGCTGGCAATGAGTCAGTGATGCGTTACTTTCAGGCTTGCAAAGGGCATTGCAATTATATTGGGAAATTTAGACTTATTTCTGTCTCAGTGACGAACTGGATAATATCTGATTGGAATATGTTTCGACTTGTTTTTATAATATACATTTTATATGATTGCTTTGCATTACGAAGCACTCACTCCTTCATATAATAAATATGTTTAGACATAGATGTTTAAATATTTGCCTTGTGCCCCAAAAATCCAAAGGTATCTGCGTTCACACGTGCATATTTGTTTAGAATGACGGCCCGATAGCATTCACTATCTTGATAAACATTTCTTGTTTGTTTATTTAACGGTTTATTATGTTTATTGGACTTAACTCATCGCACTCTTTTTATATGCTACCCTCACAGGCATGTTCGACAATGACGCCAGCGGCACCATCGATATTTACGAGTTCGAGAAGCTTTACAACTACATCAATCAATGGCTGCAGGTCTTCAAGACCTACGACCAGGATGGCTCCGGTCACATTGAGGAGAGCGAGCTCACACAAGGTAAGCTTTAACGATCTTTCTGTGTTGGTAAAATTATTATTAAGTGCTGCCCATTTACCTTTTTTCTTGTGTAGCATTTACTCAAATGGGCTTTCGCTTCACGCCGGAGTTCATAAACTTTCTGGTAAAGAAGAGTGATCCTCAAAATCACAAGGAAGTATCCGTGGACCAGTTTATTGTGCTGTGCGTGCAGGTTCAACGCTTCACGGAGGCCTTCAGGCAGCGCGACACGCAGCAAAATGGAACCATAACCATCGCCTTTGAGGACTTCCTGAGCGTGGCCATTGGCTGTTCCTACTAAATGGAATTCCTGTGACTTTTACACTCAAGAAGCACGCCGCACACATTCAGCCTTTATAGATGCAAATTGTATTCCGTTTAATTTTTGGTGCATTTCGTTTAAATTTATGGTGTATGTTTACGTCCTGTTAATCCCAATCTCGCCAATCACATTGTAATCTCTCCTGAAAAACATCGAGTATTGTTAATGCAGTTTGACACTCATATTAAGTACAAAGAAAATAAATATAATAAATTGAAGTATATCTATTTATATATGTAAATGTAAAATAATTGTGTTTTATTTGAAGTGTGAACAATGTGAATATATATAGATTAATAGATAATACATGTCTTAGCATTTGTTTCTGTTCAATTCGAATGATTTGGCCAGTTGCACTGCCAATCAATTCCAATAAATGTCTTCGTTTTGCATTCATCAAGAATAAACTCAACCCATTCGGCGCTTCATTGGAAATGAATCATTATAATTCTACGCAAAATGGCAAAGTATATAAATATATATAAAATATGATAAAATACATTTGGATATAAGAAGTACTTGATTTTTGGTCTGGGAATCATATTAAACATTTTCGTTTTTCTTAATCTTTTTTTTTTTTTTTTTTTTTTTTGGTTATTGTAAAATAAAAACCCTAAATATAATTGCTTTCAGTCTCAAAAAGTCAATGTTATGTATAAAATGTAAGATTTTGGCTTTTAAAATAATAAATTTGTTCAATCCATAATCGATTTGCGATTCTATAACTATAATGTACGAATGATTAGCTCATAATCAGTCAAAATTTTAAATAAAATAAATACCTAATATGGCATAAATCGAGGAGATCGCTTCGGCAGTCAAGGTTGGGGTCAGGCTCAAGGCATAAAGCGCAAGTAAATCAATATATATAAAAAGAGATCTTTGGGCATGGACAATGTTGAGTAGGGTGGAAAATTGGGCAAGATGTAAAATTTGTCGCCAAATTGGCTTCAAGGATCTTAGGCAAAAAAAACGCTAATTATTTTGGCCTTTTATTGTTAATGGATATGTTCGGCGAAAATTTGATGTGGGGGGCCTCGCATAATATAGTCTAACATGTATCTGAATGTGGTCGGGAATCGCTTATCTCATAAAAGTCCATACAAAAATATTTGCTTAGGTCAATTAAAATATCAATTTGCAAAATATCAACGTCGATTCGCATTTCGTGTGCGTTTTTCTGGAAATACATATACATAAAATATCTATAAAATTGTTGTAAATAATACGTTGCATTTGAAAATATTGATGTCTTAATACTAATTGGTTTCTTTCGCGATTTTGATTATATGCTTGATTAGAATTGTTTGCACTCCTTATAAAACATAAATTATTTTAATATTATTACAATTAAACATAAAATATTTGTTGCTTATCTTTTTGTTTTGTTTTTTTTCTTGGGGATGACACACAAATAGACAAGAAATAATTCATAACTTTGTTTTTCAAAGACAAATTAAAAAAAAAACAAACGGAGACAATCCTTGTTTCATACGGTGCAAAAACATAATAAATTTAAATGGAAGTTACAATCGTTTCCCCTCAGTGCCCCGCCCACGTAGAGTATGCAGTAGTCTGTGTGTATTTGGTATATGAATCGTATGTGACAAATGTAAAAAGCTTGAAATTCGCAATCACTTATTGCAGTCAATGATGAGCTTGCCCTGTGAATCATCGGAGATGGAGCCGCTCAGGCTCATGCCGCCGGCGCCGCCGCCGCCGCCCTCCATGTTCATGGAGTACTTGGAGCGACGCTTGCTGGGTAGCTGCGGCAGATCCGTGTGATGCTTGCGCACATGGACGCCCAGATTGCCGCGCTGCTTGGACTTGTAGGGACAGTAGGGGCACTGATGGGCCGGCTCCTTGCCGCCACACTCGACATTCTCGTGACGACGCAGCGTCGACTTCCAGCGATACTTCTTGCCGCAATGACGGCACTCGTAGACGGGCTCGCCATCCAGTCCAATGCCATTGGGGCTGGTGGTGCTGCAATTGCTGCTGCTGCCCCCGTAGTCGCTCAGTGTGAACTCCAGCTGGCGGAAGGCCTGCGCCTGTGCCTCCTTAAGCGAGCCGGACGAGCTGTTGGCATTCGAGGTGAACATGTTCAGCGTATAGTTGCCAAACTTGCCGCCAGCAACGCTGCCCGACTGATCCATCAGTTGTATATCTTCGAAGGCATTAAAGCGTGCATCTTCCTCATCCTCGGTCGAAGAGCCCGGTTCATTTTCGCACTCTGAGTGCCGCATATCGCGCTGCTGCTGCTTGCGCAACAAATTCTCCAGTATTTTGGTGGGTGTCACATCGTTGCCGCCAATATTGTTGTCCGGTCCGTCCGGCAAACGACGCTGCGGCGTCTGCTGGCGCAAGATCTCCTGGGCGCGCAGCTGCTGCTGGAAGCTGTGCAGCCCGTTGCGCATGAGCGCCTCGGCGATCGCCGCAGCGGGCGGCTTATGGACCGGTGCTGCTGCTGCAGCTGCCGCATTGGCCACCAGCACGGAGGTGGGTATGGCCGTTACACCAGGAACTAGGTTAAGCTCTGCGGGCACCGCATTGGCGCCAGCCGCTGTCTTCAGTGAATATTTAAGGCGTGGATGAAATGAGCCAGCGCCAGCGGCAGCGCTTAGTTGTTGCATTTCATCAGCCATCAAGTTTTTTGAAGCCGTCTCGGAGGCAGCACCATAAACGGCAATCGCTGCAATGCTGGACGGCTCCAGCGTCTCCGCCGAGGTGGGCGACACCTGACCGTACTTACTCAGCTCGACAGGATCCTGTTGCAGCTGCTGCGGCTGCTGTTGCTTGGGTGCCTTCGCCGATTTGGTTTTGTAAAACTCGAACAGCATGTCGGATACCTCAGATACGGACAAGCGCTTGCGCCGTGAACCGGGCAGCTGCAGCTTCTGCTCCTCGCGCTTCACATTGAGTATGCTGCGCTGCAGGCCGCGCTGTATCTCGCCGGCAGTCGCGGATGGTGCGGTGTTCTCCTTGCGGCTGAGATCTGTTGATGAAAGCATTTCGTATTAGTTTCAATTTATTGACAAATCTTGCACAAAATTCCGACAGCTGCGGGCGGCAAAATATATATATATATACACGATAATACAAATGAAAAAGCAAATGATGAGTTTTCATTATTGACTGAACTAAGCCTCGGACTGCTTGGGTTAGGTGAAACAAACAAAAATTCGATGGGTTAGATATGTATGTAAAAGCATGCAAAATAATTTGTAAACAAAAGCAACATAAAATTAATTGTTTAAATTAATATAAAAATATAAAAAACATATTTTCATAAAACAGTAAATAAAGCTAAGTACACATAATTTAAAAATTTATTAACTTTTTTTTTTGTTTAAATATAACATTAAATGAAAATGAAAATGTTGTAAAAGCCGCTGGCAATGCTTGCATTTTCTTTTTTTTTTTGTTGCGCAAATGAAAATGAAAATGTTGTGAAAATGTTTTGTTGTTGTTGTTGTTGTTGTGGTGGTGCTGATGGTGGTGTTGTTGGTGGTGGTGGTTCTTGTGATTTGATTGTACCGTAACCATAATAATTTTTTGGTATCTTTACCTGCTGCACATCTAAAAATAAATAGAGAAAATAAGTTAGTGCCATTTCTTTTTTTTTTTTTGCTTTCGACTGATTAATCCAAGGCTTCGTTTTGTTCTTCAAAGCAAGCTGAAAAATATTAAAAAAAAAAACAATTGATTAATTACTTTGAGCTTAACACAGGTGTTCAAGTGCAGTTTAGCTTTGTGCTGTTGTGTGGCCTTGAGCTTTAAGTAGAGCTTTAAGCGCAGCTTTCAGTCAACACAACACTTTAGCTGAATAAAAGCTTCGCTTTCAGCTCACTTAGCGTGGCAGAATTAACGAGAACCACCCACGCGCAAGCGCTCGGAAAAGCGTCCACACGGCAACACAAGCGAAACTGCACTAGTCGACGGCGCAGCTTAACAATTTTCCAAGCACCGCAGCAGGCAGGCGGCAGGCAGGCAGGCAGACGCATCCTCAAATCCCAAAGGCTGCAGCGCAGCTGCAACCAATGGCAGGCAAACAACTGCAGCAACAGCAACACCAACAACAATAACATTCGGGAAAAATCTTGTTTCGTGTGGCTTATATGCATGTGTATGCGTCTGTGTGTGTGTGTTTGTGTGTATCTGTTGCTGCTTGCATAGCAAGTGTACCCAAGGCTTAAGGCCTGCTTGATCCGGGTCCTTGATTTATTTTTACTCTCTGCTCATTTTCCCAATTTTCTACCTAGCTCGCGTCGTTGCTTCTTCTATTTCTGGCATGTTCTAGGCAAACCTCTCTCTCCCACAGAAAACTTTCTCCGAGCGCCGGAGCGAGCGTGTGGGTTGAGCGAGAAAGAGCGCAACAGAGAGCGAGTGCGCGTTAGAAAGCATTTGCGCAGGCGCACATTTCAGCTATGTATGTATGCATGTGTATGTGCATGCGTGTGTGTGTGCGTGTGTGTTTAAGAGCAGCTTCCGGTGGTGTTTCGGGTGTTTTCTTTCTACAGCTGTAAGCGATGTTTATATATACATACATACATATATACATCATATGCATTTCAAGGTCAGCACATGAAACACATTTAGAATTAGGCAGCAAACTTAAGGGAGGGCTTGACAAAAATGATTGGAATTTACATTTGCTACGCATTAACCATAAAACGGATAAATAAATTTGGGAACAGCAGGCAGAGTATCAGCTTTTAACCCAATGTAGACATATGTATATATGTATGACTGTAAAGAACTGGAGATTTCAGCTTTTATAAGGAAGTCTCATATATGATAAGAAGTTGGCTCTTAAGATAGACAGATAGGTTTTTTTTAAAAAGGATCTCATATAATTAAAATCCTCTAGTCAAAGAAATAGAAGATATTAATATTGAAAGATATAGCTTTAAAATCAGCTGTTTGAAGACTTTCTTTTCATAGATGAGAGAGCGTATATCCATGTTGTAAATGGTTAGAAGAGATACATTTTTAACGCTTGCAATACACAGAGCCCAGTCAGCGCTTCCAGGAATTTAACATTGTAATATAAAAATAGCTTCAAGACAATAGACCCAAGACAAGACCCTTGGAACTTGCATGTTTGTATGTATGTGTGTCGCTTGTGCTGTGTATCCTGTTTATTAGACTTTGCGAAGGCAAAGCCCAAAAGGAAACGAGAAAAATGTATAAAAATAAAATTCAGGCACGCAGACGCATTGCCAAATGGAAAATTGTTGGAAACGTGGGAAGCACAAAAGCAAAAGTAAAAGCCGCCGCCGACAGGCCAACGAGAAACGGCATAAAAATAAAACACAAGCCACACAAGGAGCGCAGCAAGAGAGCGAGAGAGAGACTGACCGAGAGAGAGAGAGAGAGAGAGAAAGAGAGAGACTGTGAAAACTTATTTTTAGAGAGAAACCCAGTTTGAAACGTGATTTATCTGTGCACAAATGTTTTTCAAATGCATTTCGTTGAGTCTCGCATGTGGGTGTGTTTGGAAAAGATCCCTGAAATGAGATAGGATTGGAATGAGGCACTGTGCCAGTACAGTCCAGTCCAGTTGGTTGCGCTTTGTGGTTGGCCAAATTTTGAATAGATTGTGCCCGATTTCAAGGACAGAAACCACCCTGCACTGGGACAATGGCCTGAAACCTGTTTTGGTTAAAGGATTAGCATCTATTGTATTGAAATGTGAAGCGAAATGGAATTATTTTTGCTTGATTGAGCACTTTAAAATTTTGCAATTCATCAAATAGAAGTATGTTTCAATATTTACCTTCAGTCAATGCTCCAGCATTTAATTTTAATTTAAAATAAAAACTATCTGTAAAAAAAATAAGAATAAATAATTGATTTTAGAAAATATAAAAAATACATACCAAAATCAACTTTAAATAAATTTAATAACAAGTTCTTCCAGTTTTTGTTTGGCTAATGCAAATGAAAGAAAAAAAGAAAAAATAAAAGAATATATTAATGAGATAAATTGGGGCACAAATTATAAATATAATACAATAATTTTGTTTTAGCCATATAACAATTTTCAAGTTTCAATTTTATTTTTATATTTGTATTTTTTTTTTTTTTTTTGGCATGCGCTTTATCATTTTAATTTTATTAGCAACAGGTATAAAAACTTAAATTGGTCCTCATTTAATCTGAATAATTATTGTTAACTAAATTAGTTATATTATAACTAAAATATAATGACTTACATGAAAGTTGGCTAACAACAAAATGAAACTCTTTCGCTTGCGCTCTATTCAAAAGATAACGTAAAAAATGCTTGAAAAACGACAATTTCCGGAAATACATACGAGTACAATAATTCTAAGCGAGTTTTGGCTGATGTTTAACTACAATAATATTGATTATTAGTAATATATTAGCTGGCAATATACCATATCTTTATGAGCTGTTGCATAATATATGTAATTTTTGGTCTCAATTTGGTAAATATGTGTTTTTTTTTCTTTCAATTTGAACAATACAAAAATTAAGTTGGAATCCAAACTTCATTTTACGAATTCAGACTTAGCTCCGTTTACAATATGCTATCAAACTTTCTTATACAATATATGTATGTATATTTATATATATATATAAATATATATATATTTTTTTTGTGGTCGACAGAGTGATCTCTTTAAGTTTCTAATACTATAGCTGAAAACTTATGGATTTAAGAAACTATAATTTTCAAAAGCTGTTCTCCGTTGCCTACTAAAATAACAAATTAATTCAACGAAATCTTTCATATTTCTGTTAAATTACTGTTATTTTTTTCATTTTTTTTTTCAAACAAATACATCCAATGTATGGATATTTAGATAAAGATATATATATAGAATTTGAAATCTAAAAAAATATCGTTAAGATTTTTTGATCTTTATAGAAAGCTAACAAGAAAAGGAGACTTGTTTTCGATTTTTAAGCTAAACTTAAAAATCTAACAATCCCAACTGAAAGATTAGAAATTTCCAGCATTCACTTGACCACAAAGAATATTTGTTGCAATAACAATTATATCTTGAAATCTATCAAGAGTGCCTAAATCAAGACCGAGTGCTCGTTGCGCATGTGCTCGTTGAGGAAGGCCTGGGATCGATAGACGCGTGCGCACAGAGGACAGCGATTGGATTCGTATGGTGGCAAGCGCTTGGAGCTCTGTCGTGGCAGCTTGCGTCCGGCGACCAGGCTGCTGGTATCGATGTGCAAATTGTGTGGCAAATGCGGCACCAGATGCTGCAGCGAGCGGGCTGTTGAAATGGAGGCCAGTTGCTGCAGTGCTATCAAGGCGTCCGTGTTGTTCACCAGCGGTTTCTTGCTGTTGTTGTTGTTGTTGTTGTTGTTATGGTTGTTGTTGTTGTTGTGATGAGGAGATCGCCGTTGTGCTGTCGAGGGCTCCTCATTCTCGCTTTTGGCTTCCCTGGCTTTGGTCAGCTGCTTGGAGGTGCCGGGCATGGCGCTGTCCTGGCCACGCAAATTGTACTTCCTGACGGTGCTCACTGCAAAGAGAAAAAATATTTTGTGGGCTAATCAAACAAACAAAAAATATAAATCATAAGTTTAAAGAAGAAACCAAACTAGATAAACAGCATTGCCTAAACCAAAGGATAAATAAATTTGTACATTAAATATTATAAATAAATTAATTAATTAAGCAGTAACACACAGGCATACACACAGATATATACACACAAAGTAATTACAATTGATCGAAAAACAGAATAAAAAGAAAAGAAATGCATGTTCTATATGCGAGTTTCTTTCTTCATTTTATTTACATATTATAAAATTTAAGAATTTGGCATTAACGAGAAACTTGGGCTAATAATTACATCGGTTGTAGCTTAAGAACAACAAAAACATCCGGGCCCGGCCCAAACACACCTAAAACCGGCCCCCCAAAAAATATGCTTAACTTATGTCCACATCATCCGATTCATATTCCACCTTGATTTCAGTCGTATAGAGAAACATGGGATCGATTGCGCTCAAAGGGCGACTGGATGTACGACTTGTGGGTTTCGTTGTTCCTGTCGCTGTTGTTGTTTCAGTTGTTGTTATTGATGTTGTTGCTGTTGTTGCTGTTGCCGTAGTGTTTGTTTTTGCTGCAGCCAGTTTTTGCTTTTGATTTTGCCTGTAAATGAGCCTGCGCTCAGCGGCCAGCACTGCCTGATGCAGCTTCTTGTGGCGATTCAAATGGGAGCGTCGCTTGAACCACTTGAGGCAATAGTCGCACTGGAAACGCTTAAAGTCCTGGCACTCCTCGCTCTGATGCAGCATCAGGCGGTTCATTGTGTTATAGTAGCGTCCACATTGGCACAGCAGCTGGTTCCTTGGGCCGTGCCGCACGAAATCTAAGAAGCAATAGATGGTAAAAATGACAGCGCATGACAATAATAAAGAAATGACTACGGCAATATTGAAATACATGGAATTATATATATTTTGTGATAGATGCCAGAGATGAGACTTTGCTGGATGAATACACAAATTCGTTTGGATTAACAGTTTGTCTCTTTTATTATTGAGTTTATGTACGCAATATATTTTGTTAAATGATTCTAGATTCTTTTTCTTTTTCTTTTGTTTAGCTACTTTAACAAAAATACGTTTTAAACACCTTTTTTTTCAGTACTCAGCCAGACCTTAGCAACAATCCACAGCAGCAGCAGCAGCAGCAGCAGCGGACCCTACAAAAAAGAAATTCATATTAATAATAATTCACAAAAATATTCAAAATATAAAAAACAATAGATACTTGTACAAATAATAATAAGTAAATAGTGCAAGACGCATAAATTGTAAACATTTATTAATTTATTTATTATCATATACAATTTTAAATATGTATATAAGACGATTGTTTTTTTTTATTATTAATTTTTTAAAAATTACTAACGACTGTTTTGCACATAGGAAGTGTGTGCTATATATTACGTATATATAGTATATATATGTATCTGTGTACTTACACTTGAATTTTGGGGCTGCACTTGAGCAATTCAATTCAACTATGTGAAATTGTGTTTTTGTTTCTGTTTTTTTTTTTTTTTTGGCTAATGAAATTCGTTTAAAACTTATGCGACTAACTTTAATATTATGTAAGTTCTTGAAGTTTATGTTTGAGATCATATCTTTGGCTATATTACAAAACACTACACACCCTTTAAAATAGTCAGATGAAAACGTGTATATATGTATGTACCTAAAAGTAAGACAACAACAAATGCTATTTCATATAATATAACTGCAGTGGACTTTTTTAAAAGTGGACAGGTCTGTTGAAAGAAACACGAAACTTGGCTTGGAATTTAAGGAAAATTTCAACATAGGTAAAAGGAATATTACTCTGAAGTTGAGCTTTAACAGCTCTCTTTTAGAATTTTTTCTTGTTACTCTTTGAGAAGATTCTAGTTCAGTTAAATTGCATTTTGAAATTTTTCTGGCCTGCCCATTCCCCCTTCCCTTACCCTCTAATTGCTTAGGAGCATCGTATCGCCATTTTCGGAGTGTTTTTGATTCATGTGTTTGCGCAAATCCGATTTGTATTTGCATTTGTGCGGACAATGCGGACACTTGAGAGTTGGCTCCACGCCGCATTCGTAGTTCTTGTGGCGCTTGAGCGAGCCTTTGATTTTGTACGTCTTGCCGCACACGTTGCACGCGTATTTGGCATCATCGACGGCCAGCTCATTGGTGACCTGGTGCAGTGCCATAGTGGTGTGCACTCCGCTCAATCCATTCACATACAGCTTGTCCGCCTGATGCGTTGCATCTTCGCCACAATGCAGCTTGTCCACATAGTCATCATCATCATCGTTTAACAGATCCTCATGCTGGCTATTTTTGATGGCCTCCAGTTCGAGTTCACGTTCCGCCTCATCAGCGTCGGCTAGCAGCAGCTCGGACTCGTGTGTCGTAACCACTGTGGTGGTGACCACCTCGCTGCCTGTACTTGGCGCCATGGAGATGCTAGTGGCACCATATTGCATCACATCGCGGAGCAGCATTTTGTCCTCCAGTCGGGATGTGTCTATTTTGATATACTCCGGACGCGTTTGCGACTGTTGATGCTGCTGTTGTTGTTGTTGCTGCTGCCGCACATCCAGGCATTGCTGCAGCGACAGTTGCTGCCTCTGCTGTTGCTGCTGCTTCACAATTTGTATGGTGGTGGCCTGTGGCTTGTGCAGACTGGTGGTATTTGTATTTGTGGTGGCATTTTTGGTCAGCGCGGGAATCGTATACTGTATGTTGCCAACGGGATTGCCCAGATCATCGGGCGGCAGCTCCACAACAACTGTTGCGCCCGACAATAAACTGCTGGCATTACCCGAGCTCAGGGACTGGGCAGTGCTTAGTGTTTGATTCTGGCTCGTGGCACTGGCTATGGAATAGGGCACAGTCTCCAGTATGGTCCAGTAGCCATCTGTAAATAAAGCCAAAACAATAAACAACACATTAGAACAACAATTGGGATGATTTATATATAGGGTATATATGCATATATAATTACTTGCAGCAGTAAAATAACAAATGTGGCAGCTGATCATCCAATTGTTGATGTGCTTGTATTTGGGTGTGTGTGTGTGTGTCGGATAATACATGTGTACTATAAGGTCATGGTGTTTCATTTCAAATATTGCTTTTAAAATAAATAAAAATAGAATAAATAAATGTTCATGGTAATCGTGTGAAACAGCTCTACTCAACTGATCATAGATGGTATGATTATTATTATAAGTATGCTTTATTCTTAATTGCTTGCATTTACAAATATATATAATATAGATATATAATTATGCATATGGTATATATAAAAAATGTACACAACGTTTGTTTTGCTTTCTTTTTAAGTTTAAAAATTATTGTTTATAACACCCGAAAATACATACTGTACTTAAATGTGTGTAACTGAGGAATATATGTAGTGGCAAATAATGGCGCTTTAAGTCTTTGTTTGCTTTACAATATTATTTAATTAATTGTATTTACTTTTTTTTTATTTTTTTTTTTTTGGAACTGCTGCTGGCAAGAATATTTGAGAAACAGTTAAAGAGAGTTTGGAAGTTTTTCAGAACACCAACCCACCACAGAAATGACATTAACAAATCAAGTGATTTCTTTTCATTTTTTTTTTTTGTTTTTGTTTTTTTGGGATATAAATAAATGTGGTCTTGGACCAATTTGCTGCTTAAACTAAAGGATAGGCACACGGTCAACAAAACTTAAAAATATTAAAGAAATTATAAAACAAAAAATTAAAGAAAATTAACGGAATGCGCTCAGAGATAATTAAGTTGAAGTTCACACGTGACGATTAAAAAAAAATATATATTTAAGTTACCAAAATGGTTTTTTAAGAAATATTTGAAATTAGTTTTTGGCCATGTAAATTGAGCATATATTTTTGTAAAATCCAAATAGAAAATATTTGCTGTCGTTTAAAAAAAATGTTTAGATAAGACTTTCAACTAAATTCTATATATATATTTTTTTATCTGTAAAGGATCAATATATCCAGACATGCATTAATTTTGTCTATCTTCATATCTCTCATTTTTTAGTGTAGAGATTGTGACAGAGAATACATAACCATATTATTAGCTAAGAAAATATTTAGCTGAAAGCAAATAGAGAATATAGGTTCTATCATTATCATGCTTGATAAGTACACGTTATAAGGGTTAAGTATGGGATTAGGAAAGCTACGGCCTTTTCATTTCATAGAACAACTCATAGACAACTTTTATATATCAGCTTTAAATATCAGAAATTAATATCGTTGAGCAATTTAAGGTGTCGGACTTGGAATTAAAACTGCGGTTAGCAGCCAAATTGAAAATCATTGATCACAAAGCACATTATATATGCTATATAAAATATGCACTTTATAGAAATTTAAAGAATGCCCGAGAATAGGTAGAATATATGGTGTCAAAACTTTGTCATGTGTAAACTTAGATTTACTTAGATATTGAAATAATCATTGATTATTTCTGCGGAAAGATAAAAAATATTACAAATTTATATACAAGTAGAGCTTAATTCTTTTAAAAAAAAGATTTACAAAATGTGTCAAGTAGATAAATGTGCGCTCAAATATAAGTTTCTTTTTGTCGACGAATTGTATCACGTGTAAACTCAGCTTTGCAGTTAAAATTCTAGTAAAATTCAATTGTTTAAAGTTGCTTTGCACTTTGGCAAAGTTTTGTTTAAGTAATTTGTGCGTTGTGCGCAGGAATGTGACATGCTTGAGTTTGCCACAACAACTGGCTATGATAATTGATAATATATATATATATATATATACATATATGGTATATATACTACATAGTATATAAGGTTAATATAGGTATAAGTGGTTGTGCTACACTATAAAAAAAAGCTATGAATTCGCTGCTGCTGCTGATGCTGCAGACACACACACACATGTGGAGGTAGTTGTAGCTAACACTGCACAACAGGCTTCAGGCCTTAGGCCTCAGTCTGATCCGTACAGTGCAAACTAATGTGTATTCATATTTGGTAAACATTTCAAATTACGCCTCACGGTTTTGCTACACACACACACGCACGCACAAACAGAGTGAGAGAGTAAGAGAGAGAGAGAGAGAGACAGAAAGGGAGGAAGGTGCACTTTTAGGCATCCTCATCGTAGTCATCATCATCCTCTTCGCTCTCCTGCAGCATGGGCACCGCTGTTATGGTTAGATCACGTCCTGCGAAATCGAAGTTGATTTCGCACAGTGCGGCGGCCACATCGCTATCCATGCCGCCGCCATCGGCGTCTTCGGCATCGTTATCAGCATCGTTATCATTGTCGTGCTCGTTATCATCGTTGCTCAAATCGTCCTCGTTGCGTATCAAATAGAGACTCTCCTCGTCGTTGCGCAGCCGCTCATAGAGCATGCAGTGCTTGCGCTTTGCATGCCGCAGCACATGATCCTTGCGACGCGAACGATACTCGCAGGATACGCACTTGTATTTCTTTTGCTTCAGGCAATATTTGCGCACATGCTCCTGCAATTTCTGATGCGATTTGTAGTAGCGATTACAGTGTTTGCACTGCATAAACGAATCACGTGATAGGCTGCTCGCATGTGCTGCTCGCAGGGTATTGCCGCTGTGCGTTGTGGCAGCGCCGGCGGCATTGGTGTTGCTGCTGCTTGTGTTGTTGTTGTTATTATTGTTATTGTTGTTGCTGCTGCTTGTGTTGTTGTTGTTGTTGTTGAGATAGCCGTAGTAGTCGCCAATGGCGGTGTCATGGCTACTGCCAGCATTCGCAGTGCTCGATGTGTCCACGCCCAGCAGACTGCCCAAAATGGGATAGATGTCTGTGTTTGGAGGCGTTGTCGGTTGTGGGCGATGGAAAAAAACAAGAACAAAACATAACAATAAACAAATTAATTAATTATAAGGCAACACAAACAACAAAAATATTAATCGATAAAGAAATCATAATACAAAAATTGAATAACTTATACAAATTATAAAAAATATAAGGAAATATATATAAATCTGTATATAGAGAGTGTGAAGAGGTACTTAGTGTTATGTCAACTACCCGCTAGATACAAGTGTTGCTTTCTTGTTGTTGTTGTTGTTGTTGGTGTGAGTTTTGGTTTATGGCAAATATGACTGGAGCCCCAGGCGTTGATGAGCGCACTCGATGATGATGGTGATGATGATGATGATGATGAAGATGATGATGAAGCTGATAATGAGAAGCATATATTTCCCGCATATCTATGCACACTAGCCCCTTAACTTTGAATACAGAAAAAGAGCACGGCAACAAAAAGATTGTATTAATTATGTACAGTAAATTATAAACAAGAACAAGTAACAGAAACAATAACAAATACAATTTTGAATAGTTATTCAATGGGCGCGTGTTGTTGTGTTGGTTTGGTGCATTCAATAACTACAACAATACAGCAATAAATACATAGGTTTATCATTATATTTAAGACTATCTTTCATTTTTTCACTTTTCATTTTCATCTTTTTTTTTTGTTTCTTCTCAAAATACAATAAAAGAATTTAAGCATTATGCTGCAGAAACGCAAGGTTCTCACATTAAAGCCATATGGGTATTTTGTATCCAGAATGGGCTTTCCAGCGCGACGGCATCTAGAAGAAGAGAAAAATCTATGTTAGTTTTATGTTTTTATTTCAAATATATATGTGTTGTTATGTTATGTTGCTGTAAGGGAGAATTTCTTTCGATAAGTAAAGGGAGACTTTATTTTTTTGTTTTTTCTTTTTTTTTTTTGGTTTTTAATATAATATATTTTTAAATTTAGTTGTTTTCCTGTTTTTACTTATAACAATTAAATCGTTTACTCGTTTTACATTTTCACATTTCTATTTGTTTTTTTTTTTTTTATATACCTTTTTTATTTATTATACATAATAATAAAATTGTTTCACAAAATGTTTTAAGGCGTTTTTCGGCTCTATACACATATAGATATATATTTTCATGTATATATCTTGATTTATTTGTTGCTAATCGTTTTTTTTTTTATTTTTGCACTTACAAATTTTGCATGATTAAAGCACACTTTTTTCAAAAATATTCTAACAACTGGCATTTTGAATGTCATTTTAATTTTATCATTTTAAAATTTTGTTAAACTACTCGCAAATGTGTCTATGCATTGAAAAAGCCAAATATCTTTCGAATGTTAACATTTTTTTCAAGGGAGTTTTTGTTGTAAATTTTGTTATAAGCGTAAACTAAGCTAGTTTTTATTATTAAATAGAAATAAGATTTTTGCGAATTTTTTCCATTATCTATTGTTTAGAATTTGCTATTTTATAATTTTTACGCAAATGACTCTTGAGTTTTTGTATGTGTTCGTGTGTGTGTGTGTGTGTGTGTGTGTGTGTGTTTAGCGTGCGTGAACAGCAATTAACAATTATGATTTATAATCCACAGTTACATATACATGTGTATATATATATATGTGTGTGTGTGTTTCGGGTTTACTTAAAGCTAATTTTTTGTTATTGTTGCATGTATATAAAACCCCATTTGACGTGTTTCTGCAGTTATAAATATGCTACTATATGATTTGTATTAGTTTAAAGAGAAAATATAAACAAGGAAGAAGTAAATTATTGGATAGTCAAATACAACTTAAAAGTGTTTTGTGTCTGTGTGTGTCTGTTTGAATGTGTTCTGTGTGTATTGTTTGTGTGTTGTGTTTTCATTATTTTAATTTTTTTTTTGTTTGTAAAGAAAAGCCCATTCAATGTTATCCAAAACCTATTACCCCGCTTGCCTATGCCGTTCAATTTCAGTTCACATAACAATCTTGTGTTTTTTTTTTCTCTTAACAATCACATTTGATCACATCGATTTGCTTCTTTTTATGTATGTATGTATCTATATGTACATATATTTATATATACATAAATATATATATAATTATAATATTTATATATAATTTTACATTCACAGCTCCTTGTTTACAACGTTTTGTGTGTGTGTGTGTATGTGTGTGTGTGTGTAGTGTATGTGTGTAGTGTGTGTGTGTGTGTGTGTTTAGTAGTAATAGTAGTATGCGCTATCATATAAACTCTTCGTTAAATATGTATGTGTTTAGTGTAAGTTACATAGATACATTCAATTCATTTAAGGCTTATACAAAAAATAAAACAGAAAAAAGATACATTTGTTAGCATAATTAAATTGTTTCAGGTTAGTACAATTTCTCAAAAAATATGTTTATGATCTGTTCTTGCTGTTGTTGTGATGGGCACACTTAATTATTTTTGTTTTTTTTTTGTTGAAGCTACATTTTTGCATGGTATAAAAGGCCAAAAGCAATGTGCATACAAACTTGTGATTATTTTAAAAATTTACAATTTTATATATATATATATATTTTTACGTTTTATATTTTTTACAAATCTTGCATCCCTCAAAAATTGTTAATTATTTAATATACTAGATGTACTAGGTGTGTGTATATAGTTGAATAAGCGCTACTTAATTTTAAATACAAACATAGCTATTCTGTGTGTGTATGTGTACGTGTGTGTGTGTTGCGTGTTAGTAAATTGTTTGTTAATCAAAATTATATTGAATTTATCACATGCTCTTCATTATTTCCATGGTTTTCTTCTTCTTTAACACTTTTTAACTATATGACCCAAAGTCGAACGCTAGGCTTGTGTCTTGCATTTGCCACATTTATATATTGAATATATATAAATATATATTATATTTATATAAATATATATTTATATATATATATATATTTTATATTTTTAATGCTGAACAACTTTGAGTCCATCACATGCGCTGTTGATAAATTAAAATGTTGCTTGATTTTTGCATATCTTTGTTTACATTCATTTTTTTTTCGTTTGTTTGTTTTGTTTGCTTAGAAAAGTAGTAAAAAATTATTTAGATGTATAAATAAGAACCACAACCTTAATAGACAAAGTTAAATAATTGCATTAGATTATAATTGTTTAAAAAGGACACACAATTGCATATAATGTAGATTGTGAAACTCTTCCTTCCTTTCGCATTTTCTCTCTCTCTCTCTCTCTCTCTCTACATTCCCTTTAATTAATTAAACAATTAAGTATAACAAAAAATTAAAAAAAAAGCAAAGCAAACTCACGTAATTGACTAGCGCAAATGCTTGTTTGACAATTATATATATATAGATACATATATGTATATTTAATTAAAATGAATTTGTATGCCAATTAGAAAGTTGCCTGATTGTTAACAGAAAAGATATAGATTAAAAAATAATAACAATTTAAAAATACAAATTTTTTGTAATTTTGTTTTCCTCACGTAATTCGAATACTGACCGACAAGAATTTTGTTTTTGTTTCTCTTTCATTTCCTTTGCACAATTTACATTAAAATTTTTAATATTCGCATGTTTGTTTTTTTTTCTTCTAATGTTTTGTGTGATGTTAATTAATTATACATATTTTTTAGGCTTTTTTCTTATTTTTTTTTTTCAATTTGCTAGAATTTGTGCCAATTTCGTTTTGTCTGTTGTACAAATAAAATTGTTATCACATATTTTGTGGCACAAACTGCTAACGAATATTACATTGCGCCCCTCTATGTGTGTGTGTGTGGGTGTGTGCTTGTGTGGGGTAAGGTGTATATATATATATATATATTTATATTACAATATTATTTGTATTGTTTTAAAGTACCTAAGCAACGAATTTTAGTTAAGCTCATTATTTAAACCTTTTCTTTAGTTACATTTTCGTTTTGCTTCATTCGTAATGTAGTTTAACAATTTATAAATGTTTAAATTTTTTTAACTATATAGCGTATTAATGTCTAACTGTTGTTGTTTCATTGCCGAAATGTGCGCATAAAATGTTCGAAACTTTGTTTAGGCGCACATTACAGAAATTTGTAGCTTAATTTAAATAACGGGTTTTATAACAAGGTTTGCTGCAACATTATGTGATTTGCTTGGTTTTTATAAATTTTGAAAATATATTAAATAAATAAGGTAACATTTAGTGTGTTCGTGTGTGTGTGTGTTTCGTGTGTATTAACAACAAGAAAAATTATTAATATTATATTAATTACAATGAGGACTATATTCATTATATCACATACCAATTATTTCTCATTTACTTGACTCTTCGTTTCCAACCTTCTTCGACTCCAACTCCGACTCCCATTCCGACTCCGACTCCTATTCCGACTTCGATTCTGACTGTGACTCGATGCGAGTTTTGTCCCTAACTCATTTAGCTTTAACTTTATAATGCCAATTGATTTGCTCACACTTGTACATGTTGCTTGCCATATATGTAAGAATATTTTTAGTTTTTCTTTGTTTTTTTTTTTTTTAATAATAATATGTATATTGTTAATAACTGTTTTAATTGATTGCACGCGCCTTTTACGCAAAGCCACAAGCCACAAATTTTTTTTTTGCTTTTTCTTTAATAAATTAATAATTTTGTTTAGCATTTTTGTTGTTTGTTTTTGTTTTGTTTTTGGTCCAACTAAAATTGCCGCCTATCACATTTTGTGTTCGTCATAGAATAAATAATAATTTTTTTTTTAAATAAACGAATAATTTTGTTTTTGTTTTTTTTTTTTCATGGAATGAGCACAAGATAAATTAATAAATTTGTTGTTTTGTGTTTTAGAAAAGTTGTTTAAGAGATCGTTGCGTTGCACTAACAATAATTGTTTTTGTTTGTTTGTTTTTTTTTTTTCGTTTCGTTTTGTGGCTTTGGCGGCGCGCATTTAACAAAAAATTATAAAGTGAATAAATCGAAAATTAAACAAAAATAATAATGAAAAGAAAATCAAAAT